ACTTCGCGCCCCACCGCCATCCACCTATTGAACAGAAATGTTGAGTGCATAGGCCTCATGCCTGACAAAATTAAAAGCAGTAGCCTATGTGGCTGTCTCTTATACACATCTAGATGTGTATAAGAGTAAATGTGACGGTCGTTCGGACGAGTAAAATAACAATCCATTTACCCATTAATTTGACGGAAGTTACGTATTTTACAAGCTTCTGCAAGGTCAGAATTCTGAATAGTTCCTGACCTGAGTGACGACCCCGTGTCAAATTAGCAATGTTTTCGCGGAAATTTCTATACTTCATACACAAATTTACGCTATTTCTGCTTACTTTTTATACAATTTACTCATTTCCTTGCGATTCCTAACTATCCTGACAACTTTTATATTGCTTCTCGACGACGGATTTGATCTAAACCAAGCNNNCGAAGAAAGTACAGCAATGACGAAGACAACGACCAGCGTGGAAAGAAAGCTTGGGCAACAACGCGAAGAATCATGCAGCGTGGTCGCGAGCTTCTTTTTGTCCAGTGCACTCTGATCCGGCGTTGTTTACAAATCTGAAGGGTCAACTCGTGACCTGGGCCTTGTTACGAGTGATTAATTACCCCTTGAGGCAAGGTGTAATTGAAATATCCAGTAAAAAAGGTGGGTTTTTGGGCCAGATGTTTTTCGAATTTTCTATACCCAGGGGCATTATTTAATTGCCGCACGCGACCGCTCAGCTGGTGGTACCCAGTTAAATTTTACTCGTCCGAATCGGCCCTTAGAGTGTTTTAGAAAGTAGGCCTACAGTATGTACCAGTGAATTAACTTGCAAATCGCACCAATATTTTTTCACTCTAACAGGCCACTACAGTTACTATATACTGTACTGTTAAAACTTCTGGTGATTATTTTGTCAGTGTTCTTCCAGCCTGGATTTAAATTGACCTAACCAGGTTTTTTTTCTAACACAGCCTACTCAAAGTGGAACTTTCATTAATAAAATAATATCTATAATTTTCAAAACCAACAGAGTGAACTGTTTTACTAACTAGGCCAAGGCTTGGTGTACTGTACTCTCGCTCATATTGACAAAATTAATTCTCGGATCCAAAAACAAAGTCAATCTGTGAATGCGCTGAAAGAAACTGATGCCCTGAATTTCTTTGATAGTGCAGAGTAAAAAGAAATCAACAATTTTTATCAAAAGTTTTATAACTATTCCGAATCATCAAAATTGGCACTTCACGTATAACTGTAATTTTCTGGCATTTAAAGGCAAAAAAAAACAAAAAACAGAAGAATGGAATATAATCTTGAGTTGTGTAGCCTAGGCCTAGAAATCTGGCTGTAAAAAAGAATTCATGATTATAAATCTTGATAATTAATTTATCAGAAACTATATTTAATGGAACCATTTTCAACAAGGATGTCCTTAAAAGACCCACAATGTAAAGATGAATACAAAATGTTTCCCTTAATTGTCATTTAGACACATGGATTTTGAATAACTGATTGATGATTCAAAATATACAGTAGGCCTAGGCCTAGCCTGTTTAATATGTTATAAATTAATATCCAGGAAACTTACCTTACATTGTGTACAATTCCACAGAGAATATGAGCGCTTACAATCAACTCGTGATAAAATATTTGAAAATTTGGTTAGACTTTTCTGTGAGAGAATATCTTTTTCTCTTGTCTCACATAAACATTTAGCACAACAATTATATGAATTTAATGCGAGATCCAAGCACCTCTGTGCAGGGCAATATTCCTTCTTGTCACCCAAATCATTGGTATGATTTAATAGTAATACACAGGTATAGTTGTAGTTATCATTCTTACAAGCTTTTCTTGTTCTTTCACTCTCAGTCATGTTAATGTTCATATTGCACACAGAAAAATCTAGGCCTACATCACAGGGAGCAGCTGAAGGGCAATCATTATCACTAGGCCTAGGTTCACTAGGCATAGAGATAGAACATGTTTTATCTTCACATGTAGATGTCACTGTTATTATTTCTGTGCCCAAAGACAATGTTGTTGTTAAAGAACGTTCTTTGTTATTGTTTGTATCATTATCAATTTTGGTTGTTGAATTGAAATTATTTTTGTTGCTCATCGTAGTTACTCCTGAAGATGCATAAACTCCAAATATATTCCAAAATATAAGAGAAATTCCAAATAAGAACGGTGAAAATAAGCCGGATGGCCGATTACACAATCGCTTCCTCCGTATGTGTTCCTTCCGCCTCCACTTCCTGCACCGAACGTAAAACTTCGCAAAGAAGGTAAAAATTCCATGGTTACGAGACACAAAAGTCATATTTTGAAGGGCTCGACGGTATCGTCTATTTCTCGCATGTAAATCTAGCCCGAATATTCAAGGCAATAATGGTCAGCTGTTGTTTATTACTTGGTCTATCTTGGGTTGTTTTCTCCTTCCAACAATCTCGTTGACACTGTGGTACTGGCGCTCTCTGCTTGAAGACAGTCGGGGCTGCAGAAAGGATCATACTCACGAACCGCAAAAATATTTCACTGAGAGAAACACGTCTTTATCTCATATTCGATTCTTTCACTCGATGCTATTGATTCAACAGGGTTTGAAAGACAATTTGGCTTTAATTATCCAAGTTAAATTTAGCAGAAAATTGCACTACAATAGCACGGGAATACATCTTTTGATCCTCCGAACGCACCACAAAGCCACTATGGTATAGGCGGCCATTTTTGTTCAAGAAGGAATTACATACATTCCAGATTTAAGCGCATGCGTGTTGCTTAATAGCGTTTGCAAATCATTATGAGATGAGGATTGTCTGACAAGACATCTACCCATATTTTTTAATAATTTAGTGGTTTGGGCCTAATACACATTAAATTATCGTCGGAAGATATTCACTTTTCAAGATAAATCTTAGATCTTTATGAAAAATTCACCATCACTTTCAAATGATACCAAACTAATTTTACAATCATTGTGTCAGTTCATACTTTCATTAATCTTTAATCCACAAAAGAATTCCGCTTTACCAGATGTTGCGTCTATAGTAAATTCGCTTTATCATTTTGTAACAAATGCTATTATTTATTGTTATATAAATAATTAGACATTTAAATAAAGTTCAATATTTTGTTAAAAATCACCTGAGATCAAAACTCGATACTAGTTTTCGCTTCCGTAAAAGTTAAAGACGTTATACGAAATTCATCTGAATTAAACTGTAGACTGCCTACAATAGGAAGAAAATTCTAAAATGAGTTTTTTTTTAATTAGCGAGGGAACCATCTTTTCATGCCTATGAGAAGCCCCGTTTTTAGGTTCAACTTGAGATCAGTGGCGTATCTTGAG